GGCGGGGCCAGGCTCCCAGCATTCCTTGCTCAGGCCCCTGACACAGGTGCCTCCCCGCACAGGGCCTTGGCTGTGTTTACCCTCGCCAGCGCCTCTCCGCCTTCAGACCCTGGTCCCCTGCAGTTTCTACTAGTGACAAAGAGCTCTCCCCGCACCTCCCGGCCCTGTTTCGAGAAAAGTGAGTGCCCACTGTGCTCGGTGGCCAGCGGTCACCACAGGCTCGGGGAGAGGGGGGCGGGGCTGGGTTCTGCTGCCTCGGGTCACAGGTTATCAACTCCCTTATTGAGCTGACCTAACAGTGTTTTCAAACAAACATTTGAGTTGGCACAATTCTGGAGCGCCTGTGTGACACTGAGGATTAGTGCCACTGCTCCTTGCTCACACCAAACTCCGGGGTTCCCCCCAGACGGCCCAAGTGTAGAGTGACACGTGCTTGTCACAGACAGTGAAGCGCTGGGGTGTGTGCCTGTCCACATGCACGGTAGTGGCCCGCAACTCCCGGGCCTGTGCATAACTGCATTACGGCCGCTCCCGCGGCCCCGCTGCCACCCCAGCTGCCAGGCGCTGTGCGGCCATGGGACCTGTTGCACCCTTGAATTCTTACGGGCATCTATGTGCGCAGCATGCACACAGTTTGTGAACTGCACGCCCAGACCCCAGGTGCCCGGTCAAGGCCACTGCAAGTTTCGGTCATGTTGACAGGTATCAGGGCGAGTACATCTAGAACTTAAAGGGGCATCAGGAGCTGGCCGCGTGCTCTCTGTTGGGCGCAGCCCATCGTGGACGTGGCCACTAGCATTAGCGTTCCAGCTTCCCAGGGTCCCTGGCAAGTTCTCCTTCACACCTCCCATGGGAGCCCGTCCCACACAGCGCAGACGTGCTGGCCATGGGAGTGGGGGCTGGGTAGACGCCCCATTGCCCACCTGTACCCCTGCAGCTTTTACTCCTGCAAGAGCTTCGAGACGGGCGTGGCCCCCAACGTGGCTCTGGCCCCCCCGGCCCAGCAGAAGGTCGTGAGCAGCCCACCATGTGCCACCGTCGTCTCCCGGGGCCCCGAGCCCCTCGCCACCTGCATCCAGCCGCGGAAGCGGAAGCTGACCGTGGAGACGCCCGGGGCCTCGGAGACCCCGGCGCCGGCAGTCGCCCCGGAGGACGACAAGGACTCGGAGGCCGAGGTGGAAGTGGAGAGCAGGGAGGAATGTGCGTGTGAGCTGCGGGCCTCGTTGCGCCCCTCCTGGCCAGCCCTTCTGGGAGCGCGGCCGCGCACGAGCATGCCCGCTAACCTGCGCCTGTTTCTGTCTCCACAGTCACCTCCTCCCTGTCCTCGCTCTCCTCCCCGTCCTTTACCTCATCTAGCTCCGCCAAGGACCTGAGTTCCCCGGGCGTGCACGCCCCGCACGCCCCACCCGCTGCCCCCGACACGGCAGCCCCCGCCGACGCCCCGAGCGGGGGGCTGGAGGCGGAGCTGGAGCACCTGCGTCAGGCCCTGGAGGGCGGCCTGGACACCAAGGAGGCCAAAGAGAAGTTCCTGCACGAGGTGGTGAAGATGCGCGTCAAGCAGGAGGAGAAGCTGGGGGCCGCGCTGCAGGCCAAGCGCAGCCTGCACCAGGTGAGCGCCGGCCCTCGCTCCTGGTGGGACCCGCACGCGCCAGCGCGGCCACTTGTCTGCGGGACGTGGCGTTTGGGGCTCATTCCCTAAAGCTCAGTGTTCCCGAAGGCACTGCCCTGCCCTCGGGCCTTCCAGCAGCAGGCCGGCGGGCACAGCGCAGGGTCCCTGCGGGTCCGGCTTGGGGAGGGGAGGGCTCGGCACATGCACGCGCTTGCGCACACTGCCGCTGTGTTGCCTGCACGCCACATTCTAGAGGAGTCCACAGAAGTGACTGCTTTTGAAGAGGGGGCTAGAGGCCTGAAGCTCTCTGGGCCTTGCCTGCACCCTCTCGCCCTGGGCAGGGCAGACAGTGGGGCCACCGGCGGAGGAGGCTGAGTTCCCAGCTCCTCGGGAGGGCGAGCCTTCATGCCGGGGGCCCGCAAGCCCACCCAGTGCCAGCTGAATTCACACCTCTGCTGGCTGGCGTCTGGCAGCTCGGGGACAGCTTCACACGTGGGCTGCTAGCACAATACACCCTGCATCCTGAGAGCCCTCCCTGGAGAGTAGTTCAGGCATGGCCCTGGCTGGGGGCTCGTCCCTGCTGCCCTGGTCGGAGGTGTGACTTCCCACATGCATATTCATAAGCATGAGTGGGGGGCCGGGGGCGAGTCACTGATAATGAGCTGGAGAAGGGCTGGAAATGGCCACGGGGAGGCCTTGTCTCCATCTGGCTGTGTGGGGGACCCAGGGCACTTAGAAGGCAAGATGCCTGAAGCCACTGGAAGCCCAAGTAAAGCCCTGGCTGAGAGGCAGTCCCCAGGCGCTGGGCACAGAGGGGACTTGGGAGAGGAGTGTGAGGCCCGCGGCAGCCTCCCCATCAGACACAGGTCCCCAGGTGGGTGCAGCGGGAGCACCAGAGCCCTTGGACCGGGCGCAGAAGTTGCTCTAGGACGCAAGACCTCGTGGGGTCGGGCCAGGATGCCATGAAGGCAGGAGGCTCGCAGGCGGAGTGGGCGCCTTCCCGGGGTCACGGGGAGCATCCAGGACGGCGGGAGGGCACGTGCGCAGTGGGCCGTGACTTGCCGCAGCCTCGAGCGGGCGGTGTGTGCCAACTGGCTGTCCTCTGGTCCTCTGGGGGCGGGCGAGGTGCAGGCAGGGGAGTGACCCCAAGCCTGGTGTCCTAGGAGCTGGAGTTCCTGCGCGTGGCCAAGAAGGAGAAGCTGCGGGAAGCCACGGAGGCGAAGCGCAACCTGCGGAAGGAGATCGAGCGCCTGCGCGCTGAGAACGAGAAGAAGATGAAGGAGGCCAACGAGGCCCGGCTGCGCCTGAGGCGGGAGCTGGAGCAGGCGCGGCAGGTCCGGGTGTGCGACAAGGGCTGCGAGGCCGGACGCCTGCGCGCCAAGTACTCGGCCCAGGTACGCGGCCCGGGGCGGCCTCTCCTCCGGCCTCGCTGGTGCCCCAGCGGCCTGACTTGGAGGGCGGGTGCCCAAGGCTGCTTCTCTTGGGGCTCGGGCAGTTCCCACTCGGGGTCCACGTGCCAGGCTGGTGGCAGGAGCAGGTATGGACTTTCTTCCAGGCCCTTGTCACTCACTGACTCTGGCTCAGCAGCCCGCGGACCCAGCAGGTGGGGGGGGCGGGGCGGCGTGTGGGCGGGGAGTGGGTGCGGTGACACGCGGTGTCCCTTCCAGATCGAGGACCTGCAGGTGAAGCTGCAGCACGCAGAGGCCGATCGGGAGCAGCTGCGGGCCGACCTGCTGCGGGAGCGCGAGGCCCGGGAACACCTGGAGAAGGTGGTGAAGGAGCTGCAGGAGCAGCTCTGGCCGCGGCCGCGCCCCGAGGCCGCGGGTGGCGAGAGCATGGCGGAGCTGGAGCCCTAGCCGGATGCCGCCCGCTGCCCGTGCTGCCCGAGGGGACAGGGGACGGGCCGCCCAGCCGGGGCTCAGCGCGCCGGCCCTTCTCAGTCCACATAGCACAACGTCTTACTGTGCCTACAACCAAGCGAGTGTTCGGAACCACATCCTTTTAGAATCCACTGCAGAATTTTCTACTGGCCAAGTTCAAGTGAGCAAGCCGGGTCCCTAGCTGCAGCGGAAACAAAGCCAGCTCGGTGGCTGTGGCTGGCCTCTGCTTGCTGGAACGTTCTAACATTTACACTTTTGTTATAAGCTATTTAAAACCAATAAGGAGACTTGAGATTCAGAAAAAGTCACCACGTTTTTTAATGACTAACTTTTAAAAGCCCCCACCACACCCAACGCCATCTGAGGACCCACTGAGGGAGCTGGGGTGGCTGCCGCCCCGCCCGTGAAGCCATCACCGCTTATCTGCACCCACCCGCGGCTGCATGAGGACAGGAAGGGTTTTTCTCCAGAGTCTATTTTTTCAACGACAAGGACCCCGGCCTCCCGTGCTGCCGCCGGAGGAGCGAGGAGCCAGCCGTGCGCACGAGCCGGAACACTGCCGCCTTACCCGCCGGTGTGTGCAGAGACTGCGCCCTGGGCGTCCTCTGTCGGGGAGCTGGCGGAGGCGGCCCCCGCGGCCTGAGCACGGCGACCCCTTCTCAGCCGGGCAAACATCGCTCCTTCATCTTGGGACTGAGGCCGCAGCATTGGAACAAAACAGCATTATCTCACTTTTCGTTTGTTCATTTAAACGTATATTTCGAACTGCACTTTGTCCAAAATCTTCCCTTCTGTTTTCATTCCCCAGTTCACTGAGGTTTTTACTCTCCAGATACCGCAAACGGATTTCTAGAGCAGGCCCCGTCCTAAGCGCTTGCGCGTTCGAAACCCCTCTGGTGCTCGGTCGAACAAGGGAATCACAGGAAACGAAAATGCAAAGCTGAACTTCGGGGGGTAGTTCTGTGCCTTCCAGCATCTTGTACAGCAAATCCCGACGCGTCTTTCTACCCCCGAATATCCGTCTTCAGTAGCGATCGAATCTGCCACTATCAGAATAAGTTACTTGCATTTATTCCAAATAATCTCGTTTACTCTCGACTGTTTATGCAAATTGTATAAGGTTTCTTATGCCCAAGCTTGAAAACGATTTCCCAGTAGGCAAGAGGCACTGCCCACCTGAAACGGCGGTATTTATTCACACGAGGGGCGTCCTGCGGACTCCCCGGTCCCACTCCGTTGTGGCAGCTGCGCGCAGACGGGAGGCGGGGGCCGCGGCTGCCGAAGCCTCTGCAGGGCTTTGCCCTCGGTTTACTGGGGGGGCCCAGGAGCCGCTGGACCCCCTTCTAAAGTGCAATGCAAAAGGGACATCATGTATATGCAGCGTTTGTTTGGTTTTTTTGTTTCTTTTTGTTTTTGTTTTTGTTTTTTTTTTTTTGGCTTTTGTTTTTCTTTTGCAGTTATTAAATCTGTATGCATGGAATTTTTAATCTGCCATACGTATACCCATCGATGGGCATTATTACCGTGTCGTGTAAAGGGTCGGCTGTGTTATGCCACACTCAGAATGCTGTGTTCAGCCTTGTTTTTCCAGAGTTGTGTTTTTTTCAGTCATTTCTTCAAGGGAAACTAAACGGTTTAGTTGGAGCGAAGCTTTAAGTGTGTCGGTGTGCTTCTCTGTGGCTGTGCTCTGCCAAGTCCGAAAGTCGCAGTGAGACCTGAGGCCCCAGGACCTGTCCCTGAGGCCACCTGGGTCGCTCCAGTGGCTTCTGAGTTTTCAGGCTCCAGAGGGAGATAAGTTTTTCTGAGTGTCGCGTGTGAGGGCACCGCCTCTCCATGCCCTTGCACTGACCCCTCCGGTCACCTGCACGTCTCTGCTGTTGACCGGGTCCACATCTCCACTAGCCAGCTCTGTCCCCAGACATCGGGAAGAGCTGGATATGCAATGGCAGCTTGTCCCCTAGAGCTGTGAGGATGTGGCCCCGGAAGGCCTTGTCCCACCCAGGCCCGCCCTTCCCGAGGGTCCCGAGGCTGGAGGAGCCGGCGGGGCGGGAATCAGACAGGTGGGTCTCCTTCACCAGCAGCTCGGCCTTCCGGAGCAGCTCCGGGGATGGGGTGGGCGGGGACTGTCCCGGCCGCTCCATACCTGGGGTGCAGCCCCGCTCTGCAGGCCCAGGCCGGCCCCAGCCCGAGGCCCCAACCCGCCCGTGCCGCTGCGGGGTACTTCCTTCCCAGAAGGGAGGGGAGGGACCCATCCTGTGGGCCGGCGGCTCCTCCCGTGTGTGACCCCCGTCATCGGGGTGACTGTGCATTCAGTCTAATTACTCACTCTTTCTATGCTGAAAAGACTTAACGAAGGGAATAAAACCAACAGCAATAACATAATATGGAGCAGCCAGCCCGCGCACAGCCCCCTGCTTCCGCGCAGAACAAGCCAGTGCGCGAGCGCCGCCCTGTAAATACACCCTTCCCGCCGCCGCGCGTGCGTGTGCTGGTCCCGGTCCCGGTCCCTTCTCCAGAACCCTTTCTCACCTGGCAGTTGTCTCGTTCTCTGGGTTTCTAGCTGAGGAAGAACGCGCTCCTCTGCCCCCGGGGGTGCCGGGGACGCCCTGGCCGCTTCCAGCACCGGCCGCGGCCTCCCCGCTCCCTCCTCCCGCCCGCGTCCACCAGGCTTCTGGGCTCGAGAGGCGGCTTGTTCTTGCTTAAAGTCAGGAGTCACAAACGACATTTTTTTTCAATTAAGGAAAAAAACACAGCTCTACCTTTGTATCCGCCAGGAGCGTCTGCATCGCCGCCCCGTTCTCTCCTTTGCTGCTGCTAATGACAATATGATGACTTACTCTACTATTCGAAAACTATTTTTATGTAATTAATGTATGCTCTCTTGTTTATAAATGCCTGATTTAAAAAGAAAAAGAGAAAAAGCTTGGCATATTTATCTATTTCGCTCTGTACCCATTAGTCCTTTGGTGCCCCACCCCCGAACAGGTGACATTGTATAATAAAGGACTTTGAGAGTACACGTGGCCGCCATGCTTGGGCCACCCTCACGGCCCCCTCCTCCTCTCTGGGGCTCCTCCTCCCCCAGGCCGCCATCCGGCCCTGAGCCCAGGGAGGGGAAGGGGGCCTCTGTCCGCCATTCAGACCTGGAGGGCCTTCGGTGTCCACTGACCCCAGGAGGACAAAGGGCATGGATGGGCAGCTCCTTGGCTTGGGCGTCCCCGTGCCCCTGGGTCACACTGAGCTGTGCTGTGCCCTGCCATTGTGCTGCGGATGTCAGCTGGAGGCCCTGCCTGGCCAGACTGGGGCAGGAGGCGGGCTGGGTGGCCCCGCTGGCTGTTAGAGCGGGGCGTGCCTGGGACCTGGGGACCTGCTCCCCGGGGACAGATTGTCACCCCCCGGTAGAGCTTCAACGGGGAGGGGGACAGGTGGTATCAGCACCCTGGGCCTCGGTGTGTTACTTACTCTGAGGGAGAAGCAGAGAGGCCCCGCTTCCCAGGAGGCTTCCCCAGATCTCGCAGACCCCGCTGGGCCGGGCCCTGGGGTGCTAGTCTTCCTCGGCCGCCCACATCTTGCCGCCTGGATAGCCTGGCCCCCTCAGCAGCCACCTGGAGAAGCGGCTGGGCAGGTGCTCGGTGCACCCCAGCCTAGGACTCCCTCCAGCCCTGGCACGCCTCGCCAACGGTCCAGAGGTCCCCAGGAGCGCCCGAGGAGGGCTTGCGGGGTGGGCCGTGGTGCAGGCGGCCCGGAGAGGCCCATGCCACCCCGGGGCTGGCCTTCCACCCAGGCCAAGCCAGGCGTGGGAAACAGCAGGGCCCCGGGCAGAGAGCCCCTGGCTTCTGCCTGTCACAGGCCCCGTCAAGGCCCAGAACCTGGGCCCCCACCAGCTGCCCCTTGTGGGGTACCCCCTAGGTCTGGGACAGGCAGGCAGAGTGGACACGAGGCTGAGCCCTACACCACAGCCCCAGCCCTGCCCGCTCCTTGCTGTGCAGTGGCTGGGAGCCCTGCTGGAGTCCCGGGGCCCCACGGTGTGGGTGACAGACCCACTTCAATGGGGTACAGCTGAGGACCCCACACCCTCTGCCCCTCAGCGGGCCCTGCCACCGAAGCTGCCTCCCTCAGCCCAGGAGTCACCTGGACCTGGCTCCCTTTCCATGTGGCCTCACTGAGTTGTGGCGCCAGTCGGCCACACTCGGGGCTCCTGGCCTCCCACGCCCAGAGGAGGGAGGAAGGGGAACAAAAACGGGGTGGCCCGACAGGGCGGTCCCCTGTTACCAGGCCTCCTTGAGCTCCCCTGCCCAACCGCGGCCTCTGCCTGCACATCCTAGGCACCCCCAACGCTGTCCGCTGGGAGGGCTGCTCCTCACCACTGCCTTCTGGGGCTCCTGAGGAGAGAGCCGTTCACTGCGCCTGGTCAGGGGTGTCGGAGCCCCCTGTGGCCATGGGGTGGAGCTGAGGGCCAGGGCAGTGGGCAGCCGAGGCCCTGCTCGCCCAAGGCCAGCCTCATGCGCCCGCCCGCCGTGAGGAGCAGCGGGACCTCCGTGATCTCTGAGACCTGTCCACACTTCCTGTCCTCACTGGGCATCGGTTGCCACCACCGAAGCCCCTGTCCAGGGCCTGCCAGGTGGGGCCTCTGCCTGGGGAGGGTCTCCATGCCTCGCCACAGCATCCTGTGCCGCCAGTGCCCAGAGCCCTCACCCCGCACGGCCCCCCACATCTCACCACTTGGTGGGTCCAGACACCACTCGAGGGCCCCGCTTGGAGAGAAACGGGTGTCGGGGCTGCGAGGGCGGGGAGGCTGGGAGAGGGGGGCGGAGAGGTGGGCCTGGACCGCCGGCCCTCTGGGCGGCCCTGGCCCTGGCGGAGGCCATGGGCAGGCAGTGCGGGTGTCCGTGCGGCCAGCCTGGAGGCCTTGGAGCTGGGTGGACACAGCCCCTGGGGCTCCGGGCTCAGCTGCCTGTACCCTGGCTGCCCCAGGCTTCACTTTGGGTATAAACAGAACAGAGGCCGCCATTTCCAAAGCCGTTCTGAGGGGGACAGGGAACTCCTGAGAGCTCAGGGGAGAGATTACTGGGGGACAAACCCCCTCCCCAGGCACTCCTGCCAGTCCCCTGCCTCCAGAATGGGAGGAGACAAGTGGCTCTCCCTCCCACCTCCGGGCCGTGCTGGCCAGGGCCTCTGCCGGACCCACAGGCTGTCCCGCGGCCTGGCCTCATCCTCCCAGAGCCTGGGCCCTGGGCCCAGCCAGACCCCCGCACTGGCCACTCTCAGCCCTGCCCCTGTCGATGCTGATTTCTGAGCCCCCCAGGGCCTGGGGGTGACACGACCTCAGGGCAGAGAGGCTGCTCTGGGGAGCCTACTCAAGTCCCTCGTCCGTCCCCGCCTCTGCTGCCGCCCCCAGCTTTCACTTCTGCTTCGCTCAGCAGCATCACCAGCATCACCAGCATCACCAGCAGCCGGTGGCTCTCAGCTGTGCCTGCCTGTCTCCCTTTGGGGTCTCCGCCCTCCTCCAGTCAGTGTGGCCCCCAGATCACCCCGCCACCCTGCGGTCCAGGGGGCTGACCGCAGGCCAAGAAGCCAGGCCCTTATCTGGGGAGGCGGAGGCCAGGCACGCCCTCTGTGGAAAGAGGAAGCCGCCCACCCATGACACTGCCAGCTGCACAGCCCCCCGCCTCCCTGTGGCCCCTGCCTCCAGCTCAGCCCCCCAATGCAGACCCCCTCCCTGACCCACACCCCCAGCTGTCCCTGCTCCCTGCACAGCCCCTGTCCCTCACTTTGCCTGTCCTGTCACAGGATCACTCCCTGCTGGCCAAGAGACAGACTCCAGGGCCGGCCTCAGCCAAACAAGGGCAATTTTGTGAGAGTCCCAGCCCCTACCCCCAATCTGCTCACCACACCTCAGGGGGGCTGGCGGTCCCAGCTGGGCTGGCCGGGCCCCTGGCCGTACTTGGGTGACCTGGGTGATCACCACCTGCAAGGAGGAGGGGATCCTGTAGGCAAAACTGGGTCTCACCCCCCCACCAACTGGTCCCCGAGGACAGTTTGTGCCCTCACGAGAGGGTGGGGCTGGACCCCTGCTGTGCTGGCCCCAGCAGGACGTGAAACCAGGGCCTTGGATGGGACCCCAGACCCCCTCCCCGCAGAAGCCCACTGTGCTCCGGGGACAGCAGCCCCGAACCCTCCTGTCTGCCCTGCCCACTGCCAGGCTCTGGGAGGGGTGAGGACAGAACTTTTGGGGCCTGGATGCCTGCCAGCCCCTGCCCCCTGTGTACTGATGACGTGCGCCCTGCAGGCCTCACGCACACAGCCATCTGTGCCCAGGTCTCTGCCAGGGGCTGGGGGCCGTAGGAGCTGAGGCTCCCAGCCCTGGGGCAGGTGGCCCCACTGCAGGGGGGTGGACGGACAGGTGGAGCCGGCCTAGTTTGTCTTTAGAGTGTCCTGTGCCGGGCAGGTGTCCGGCTAGGCTGGGCTGGGGCCTTCCCGCTGCACGCCTGGCCTGGCAGCCCTTATGGGCAGGAAGCTTGGCCCAAGCTCTCTTCCAGGCCCCTCCTGCTGCCATGGAGGCCTGTTCCAGGGCACCTTGTGTAGGAGGCAGCTTGAGGTCAGGGCTCGGGTTCCCATCTCCACGAAGCCTCCGTCAGAGGATACATGTCCGAGGCCACCTGAGTCCAGCTGCAGGCGCAGGAGGGGCCGGGAGAGAGGGGAAGCAGGGGAGGAGACCACGGTGCCCAGCGATGCCCGCTCGGCACCAAGCTGCAGCCCGAGACGGGCCAGGAAAGTGGATGCAGGGCCGGCGGCTCTACTGGGCAAGAGGAAGGGCTGGACCCCGGGAGCGGGGACAGGGACTCAGGTCCTCAGGGGGCGGCAGGCCCGAGGGGCCCGGAACGGGAGAGGCACCTCTCTCACGGCAGGGGTCTGTCTCCCGGCCCTGGGAGGCTGGTGTCTGCCGCAGCGTATGGACATGCTCATGTTGCACACGCATGTGCAGACATGTGCATGCAAGGATACATCCGGGCTGCAGAGCTGGGGCCTGGTGGGGGGGATCAGGACAAGTAGCCACAGTGTGGCTGCTGCTCATGCTCGGCAGCTATGCTCAGGATTCCTGTATGGGACACAGTGAGGTGGCACCGTGAGGGGGTAGGTGACCCCAGTGCTGGGCTGGCACCGGGGTGGGCAGCAGAGCCTGGGCAGCCCAGTCAGGGTGGGTGCAGCTCCCGAGGCAGCTGGCCGTCCATCCCCATCCCCCCACCCCCCGCTGTGCTTTTCTCCGCTGTGGTGCTGGTGGCTACGGGAACAAGGCAGGGTGGCAAGTCCCCATGGGGTCCAAACTCGCCCTGGCCTGCCCTTGGCAGGGCCTTGACCTGGTGGCTGTGTGGCCCACACCCTGATTTCCTGTTTCAAAGAAAAAAACAGTCCCAGAAAAAGCTCTGGGGAGCTTTGGGGGAAGAGGCCCCCTGCCCAGGCCTGGGGAGGGGTGTGGTCACGTCCACAGGCAGAGGGCATGAGGAGGGCTGCAGTGGATATGGCCTGCCCGTGTCACTGGCCTCTGTCACTAGTGGACCATCTGCCTTCCCCCCACACCTGCTTTCCCAGGCAGGAAGGCAAAGTTTTGCTGGACAGGCCTGAGTGTTGGGGAGAAAGCAACTGGTTGGGGCTCCTCAGCCACAGTGTGGGCACCCTGCGCCTAGTCTCCCCCACGACTGTGTGGTGACCTTCCCTGCAGGCACACTGGTTAGGACATGGGCTGTCCCCCCCACCCGATCCTGCACTCCCATGCTTGGGGCTGGCAGTGGGCAGGGGTGCCCAGGACATAAGGCCCCCCTGCGGGCCGCGGAGCAACCCCCTCAGATACAGGGCAGGCTCCTCCCTTGCCCCCCATCCCTAGGGGAAGGGTAGGGGCAGAGAAGCTCCCTGGAGTTATAATGCCGGCTCCGAACATTCC